TTTTATTTTTAGCCGCAAGTTTATATAAACACAAAGTATATTAATATTTATGATTTGTGTACATTTCGGCATTGTGTAAATAAATTTGTCATGACACCCCAAAGTTGTCATAAGCCGTAATTTAATTCGAATACTCATTCGTAACAAATAAAACAAATAATAAACCTTATTCGAATAGAAACCCTATCTAGAGTCTGGGCTGCGATCCTATCATTTAATTAGACTGGATGTCTTTGGGCCAGACCGTAAATACTAATACTAATACCAATACTAATGATTGATTGCAACCGTAAAAAAAAATATAAAAAATTGGATGTAACACCAATTTTTAATTTCCATGGTAACGTGACATACGTAACAACAAAAATGAAATCGTGGTTTTGGAAGAATTTAAGGGATATATACAGCCAATAAAAAGTTTAGTAAAGTGACTTGTAATAACGAGGTTCAACTGTGATTAATTATTTTTTTCTATATTATTTATATATAGAATAAAAAACGACACAGTATATTACAATCTATTCTAAATTTAAAGATTTTGGATTTTTCTTTCCCAAATCTACACACACACAGATATATATAATTATTAAAAAAATCATTGATACAAAAAAAGGAACACCAATATCATATACGAAGATTAAAATCAAAAAAATACCTGAATATAACTTTCAGATAAAAAGATCATTTGTGCATTAATCTCTTCCACAATCAAATCTTGAATTTGATACCATTGTTCTTTACCACGATGTTGAACATGTACTTTATAAATCCCATTACTTTTACCTGCTTTGCCTTCATGGCATATATTTGCTATTAAATCATAATGTGTGTCTAACATTTCTGATTCTGGATTTTCAAGAACTAAAAATAAACAAATAGATAATTAATTGATTAAAGGCATAAAATAATCAATGAATGACAAGGAATAGTTTTCAATAATGGAATGCATACTTACAATCTTTCATATCAATGTTTTTAATAGGGAAGTTTACAATTGTGGGATTTTTCTCAAGATCCCAATTATTTTTTGTGAAACGTTTAATATGGAAAATTAAGTAATTAGGCAAACTAATCAATTGAAATCTTTTTAAAGCACCTGCTGATTCCTGTTGTTATATATATGATTTTTTTTTAAGTATAAGTAAATGCTGCATACATGCATGTGAAATTATAAATTCATTAAAATTAATTTGAAAATTGAAATTAACCAGAGTTGTTCTACCGTCATATTTTTGAAGCACTGTTGATAATGCAACCTAAAATATATATATTATATTATTGAATACACTCTCTATATAATAAATATAAATCAATTATTTACTTGAGGAATGATATTTTTCTCGACTTCATCCTGAAATAAAGGTGGTGGTGGTAAATCCAATGTTAAAAACAAAAATCGTGTCCTTTTTAAAGATATTTCTTTTTTTTATAATTGAAAAAAAAATTTTAATATAAATTTTAACAAATAATAATAATTAATATATAAGTAATGGAGTTTCACCTCTATCAACATCAAACAATTGACGATTCTTTTCATCAGTATTATCTTTTGTAATTATGAATTGAGATTCTACCTTTACTTCTCCTTGAAAGATTTTATATATTATACTTGAATCTGATTTCTTGGTACCACATAAGTCTTTATGTAATGTATTAAGAAACCAAGATAGAAAATCAAGAGGATCTGTTTGTTCTGCAAGTTTGAATCGTTTATTACTTGCATTTGATATTTCTTGTAATAGTTCATGAGGACTAACTTGTCCTTTAAATGCTCTTGGATTCCATATTTTTTTAACAAGTGTACTAAATCTTTGAACTAATAATATACAAATGAGTGGAAAGATTATAAAAAGGTTTTTGCATGTAAGTAAATTAAAAAAGTGAATAATTACCTAATTGAGATTTATTTTCAAAGTTTTGCAACATAAAGTAATCTCTAAGTGGGGGAATATGTGCTAATGCTTGTATTATTACATTAACATAGTCATTAGCTTTTACATTATTCAACCCAACAAAACCTATAATTTTTTTTTTCGATATAAAGTAAATATATAATTCCCCTCAATAATGCTTATAATTGATAATTAATTACCAGGTAAATATTTTTTATTATTTAAATCATATGAATGTTTAATATTTTGATCCAATTGTGCAACTTGTTCTTTTGTAAACGTCGGATATAAAACATACTAACCTCGTACATTGTAATAATAATAAAAAACTAATTAGCATATAAAAAAAGAAAAGAATTTGAAATGAACCAACCACATTAATTGTTATTATTATCATTTAATAAAAACATATTTTTTTAAAAATATAGATACCTTAATATCATCTAGTGATGAATCTTTGACTTCATATCCATCAGGTAATACATATACCTATATATATGTTAAATAATCATTAATTTACAAAAAAAAATTTCTACCCATGTATATAAAATTTAATACTAACTTTTAGAGTATGTAAATTAATAAAAACATGATGATCTTCATGTAAACTATGGAAATAAGCATGTGAATTACGACCTCGTCCTAAATAAAATATTTATACAGTTATTTTAAGCAATGCAGTTGCTTTAATATTTATGTTTTTCAATTATATTACATTACCTTGAAAATATTTGCCACATACTAAACAGGCATAAACATTTAGATTTGACAAAGAAACTGAACATACTTTTTCAAAATCAAAATCTAACATGTGTCGATTTATCTAATAAACAAATAATTAATTAAAAGAATCCTTGAAAAATAGATATATAACAAAAAACCTACAGTATCCAAATAAAGATCACTTGAATTATTACTATTTTTGCTTTCTTGAAGGCGAATTTTTTTAGAGTCTGGCTCTCTATCAACAAAAGTATCAACATTTTGAGTCTCTAAATCACGTTTTGCATGATTTGATTTATCATCATCTCGAGTCATTTTTGTAAAAAAAAATTAAAATTTTTGTGGAACCGATTTTTTGTTTTAACGAATTTCGAATATGTATATGTCTAGCCATTTTTATTTTGTTGTAACATGTACAAAGAATTCCAACATTCATTATTTCAAATTTAAATATTATTGACAAATTTAGCAGATCCTACACAACAGTTTTTAATATATCAATTTTGAAAAAGTGTCGAACTACTAATGCACAACTATTACAACTCATAAATATTTATCATTATATAGCAATACCATAAAGATTCTAATCTCTTAACTCGAATACTCAAGTTCATAAAGAATAAAACAATTATCGCAATTATTGATTTTTTTTCTCTAAAAGATATAATTTATATTGCCATGATTGTAAGTAATTCATCAATCACGAAAGAAGAGTCAAAAACTCGATCCTTCGCATCACAAAATCTGATTATAATAAGTTGCTTGAGAACTCAGAAAGCTCGAAAGGGAGATTAGAAAAGATATAGTTGAGTCGATAAGCTAAAGCCTAAACGTGATACATCTGAATCCAAATCCTCTGAATCAAGCAAATCCGATTTTGGGTCTGACAATCCAGAGAATCAGGCCTTGGTTTCTTCTCCCAGTTTGTCGGTAATCATAAATGTTAAACGTAGTTGGGAGAAAATTGTAAAGTAAGTTCAAATTTTGCGAATAATTATTTTTCGGTCACGGTATACTCAATTAGATAGATTCGCCATATACACAGCATGATTGATTCAAAAAAATTCATATTAACAACACAAGCCGATCGATTTGTGAAGGATTATTTCAAAATAATAAAATTGAATGTGGGTTTAGGACTAAGTAACAAAGACCTTAAAGAAACATTCTTCGGCCTATCACTAGATAATAGAAATATTCGGATTTAACAAACCCCTGGATAAACTGGTGGAACACTTGCTTGTATATAATCTCTATACCTTCCACCGATATGCAAAAGTTTCGTTTGGGGGAGTTTGTTCAAGGCAACGACTCTGTAATAGGCTTTTAAAAAATGCAATACAATAAAATTCCAACAAAACTCTAATGTAATCCTAACGTAATAAACATCCACAGGGTTATTATATGTAATAAATTTTTTTAGTAGAAATAAGACTGAAATAAAAAAAACGCGCGAATCCAGCCAATAAATTGTAGATTATGTTGCACTTGCCACATGCGTTACAGGTCGTCTGCTACAAAAATATAAAGATGTTCAGCGCATTCATAATATAAAATAAAATCACAATAAACAAATAGGAATGTTAACGGTCCGGTCAGACTGAATGGACTGCGGACCGAGTCGGTCTGGTCTTAGGTATCAAAGACCGTTTGAACCGTTGAACCTTTTTGTTAAAAATATTATTTTATTATCGTAACTCAATTCCAATTATTAATATATTCAAAAGAACTAATTAATAATATATCATTTGTTTCAGAACAAGAATCTTTATTTGAAGGACATTAGCTTACGGGGATTAGGTATATGAATCTTGAAACTATGCAACAAAACACAAAGGAACACGACCAGAGACATAACAATACCTGAAGACTTATCTTGTTCAAATTGTTAACTGTTGGTCGGAACTTTTCAACACAATTTCTAATCTTTTGGGCTGGATACGAGAGACACACCAAGCAATAGACTGCACATCACATGCCATCTACACTTGTTGCTATAACAAGACCTAATCGGTTGAGACAACTCTCTTTGATATTGTTAGTTAGTATTAGATATAGGGAATACCCAGAAGATCCAACTACACTATGCCAGAACAACCACAAAATGAAGGTAGTGATAACCTGGACAGTGACTCTGAAGGATCGACCAACTTTTTAACCAACCAATAAATCAAAAAGCAGTAAACGTAAATCAAAAATCGTTTATAAATTTTTTGTTTATAAAAAAAATTTATAAACAAATATTATAATCATTACAAATTTGGTTTTTTATTATTATATTATTATAATGGTATAATGTGACAAATATTCTACTATATAGTCCAAATAATATTACTAATTCTTTTTTTTTAAGAGGATTCTTTATAAACAAATAATTATTCAATTCTAAGTGTATCGCTGAATAACCACAGAGTTAAGAAGAGATGCTTCTTCTAAAGTTTGTGATCCGTCATTTAAATCATTTACTGGAAATGATGTTTGTAATAAATAATTTCGTTGTGCTTCTCCAACTCGTGAGCTATTAAGAAAAATTTTATTTGAAGAGAAAATTCAATTAATTGGTTGTTTGATTGATTTTGAAATGGAATGAACCAACTCACGCATTAATAAAATTTCGAATATCATTAACAGTATGTGTGTGATTAAACCTAGCAAGCATTCTAACAATCAAAAATAAATTTTTAATGATTTACATTACAACAAACAAAGTGACATGAGCAACGAAACAACAATAATAAGATACCTTGTTCCATCCGCTAAACGTATTTGGAGTGATGTGATTGGCAGTGACTCGTCAACTTCAAATTCTCGTATACTTTGTGTTGTGTTAGTAGTAGTAGCATCAGTAGTAGCAGTATCAGTATTTAAAATGTCAGTTTCGGTACTTTGACTGGAAACAACAACTGGTGTTATACTATTTTGCATATACATATATATAAATGAAAACATAAATACACACACACATATGTATAAATATATATATATATATATATATATATATTAAAAAAAAGATACCGACCTGCCAAGTCTTTGTCCAGATCCAGAAAATGGTCTGGTAGGTTTCTTTGGTGGTGGTTTGTAATCTTCATCTAATCTACGTGAAACTCGTACATCGACTGGTTGATTTTGACTAACATTTAGTAATGACAAGGGGGCACGCCTTATATATATATTATTATGATGATATTTAATATTTTTTATGAATTTGTGGTTTACAATTAACAAATAATAATCTATAATTGTATAAATAATATACCCGCTTCTAATAGCTTTCAAAAATTCTTGATTTTCTGGATCATCATAAGCCATTAAAGGACCATCTTCAACGCTAAAACCATTCCTCCAAAAAGTTAAATGACGAACCTACAAAAAAATTTTATTATTAAATAATACTCGATATATACATACATATATACACACACACGCAACACATACAGTTGTAGCTGGTTCTTCTTCTTCAGTGTTGTTGTCGGAAGAAGTGCCTGGAATAATAGTTGATGGCTCTTCATCACTTCCAAGTTTATAGCCTATATAATTATGTTTATTATTCAATAATAATGATAACAACAACAAACAACAACAATAATAATAATAACGAGATTTAAATGATAAACTGACCTGTTCCGGTGAAAACTTGAGAAGAAGTAGAAGATGACGCAGCAACTTCAGGTTCTTCTGTATGAGCACGACTACCTCTAATTTATCAATGAGCCGAATCATATCAATTAATATATATATATATATATTAAATAAATAATCCTATTACAATTTTTCCTTTTATACTTACTCTGTGGCTTTTTTCAAAATATCGGTAACTAAAGAACTTGCTTGTTTGATTGGCTTTGCGTTTGGATTTTGCATAAAAATTCCACTATAATATAAATTAATATAAAATTAAACCTAAATTGATTAATTGATGACGATATGTGTATATGTAGAAGTGATAACTTACGATTTTTCTCCACCAGCAAATAAGTTTTTATTTTCATCATCTTCATCATCATCTTCATCCATTGGTTCATTCTCAAGATCATGTATAGTAGCAAATCGTGAACTAGTAATAATAAAAATAATTAATCAATCGATTAATCAAATAATGATATATTTTTTTAATAATATTTATATGTAAAAAAAACCTATTTCTTGAGGAGCTTGAAGGATTATTTTGTGTAGAAGAAGTTTGAGACTCTTGTTGATTTGATCCAAAAGCAGTATTTGTTGCTTGGTCTATATCACTACTACTACTAGGCGGAGGGTTTTCATAATAAGCGGTTAAAGCACCCTTAAAAAATAGAAAAATAACATATATAAGTATATATGTATGATCTTTGTAACTTTTTAATATTTAATAAATTTCAATTAATTACAGCTAAATCCCAATTATTAGCTTCTAAATAGAATTGAGCTAATTGTTCATTACAATTAACTATACTCCTAAATTCGGAAATTAAACTAGCGTGTTCTACCATATTTGCTTATTTCTTTATTCTTTCTTTTTTTTCTCTTTGTATTATAATTATTATATATTTGAGAGAAAGTAAAAGTAAAAGAAAATAAAACCAACTGGCTGTGTTTTACTTTTAAAAAACTTGCGTACACAGAAATAAATAATTTTGTTTTTTAGAAAATGGGATTTTTTTTAAGATTTAGATAAATAAATTACACGAATCTGATCAACAGTTACGTATTTATTTGCATAATGACAATGTCATATGACATTTGAATATTTTTTATTTTAACGCTTCTTGTAAACACAAGGTTTTAATAAATTATCCAAAATTTCTGAATTTAACAATTCCTTTGAATCTTTTGATTTATTATTATTAGGTTTATTATTATTATTATATTTAATAAAATCAAATAAAATAAACATCTTATCTGAGTCATCCTGTGTGAAAGAGGAAGGGGTGGAAAAGAACAAGTAAATGAGTAAAAAAAAATTATTATATAATATCAAATAGTAAATATTACAATGACAATGATATAACTAATTAATATAATTAATATAATTTCTTTTACCTTTCTAATGAACTCAAATCCAATTTCAGTTAAAACTTTAATAAATGAATTAATATCTGTAAATCTACTAACAACTTCAGCAACCTTTAATTCACCTCTAAATAATATAATAATAATAAGCAAATATAAATAATTTCTATTATTTATATATATTATATAAAACTTTACTTTGGTTTTAATACACGATGTGCTTCTTTCAAGAATTCAATATAATTTGTTCCCATTAATGATAAAGAAAATATAACTATATCAAAAAAAGAATCTGGGATTGGGAGCTAAATAAATAAATAAATATAAATAGACATTATATAACATTAATTCGTACCACTAAAGGCATTAATTAAATACCTTTGCAATATCACAAACAATAATTTTATCATTTTTAGCGACAAAATCGAAAGATAGGATTTTATTTGGAGCCTCTTTAGCAATCTTTGCTTCTCCACATCCTAAATCTGCTACTATTAAATTTTTAGGTTTTTGTTTCAAATACTCAATAAATATATCAACTGGATTTTTAGGCCATGATTCAACTACTGAACTAAATCCCTCATGATACTGATAATATAATCATATTATGCATAATATTTAATATATTATGATTATGATTATATTTAGATTTTTTAAATTAGGTTTTTTACCTCATCAAATAATTTTGAATTGTTTTTAAATAATTCAAATGCTGAAGTACTTGTCTTATTATAAAGTTGTTCATTCAACCATCGAAATTTGCTTTCTAATAAATTCATCCTGGCTTTTTGTTGTAATGAAACATTTTTTTTTGATGATGGTGATGATTTGCCCTTCTTTTCTTCTTCCTTTATTTGTAATTTTAATTTTTTTAATTGTGATTGTTGTGAATTTGATGATTCTCTTTTCTTCTTGTTGCTCTTATTGGAGCTACTGGTATTGTTCATATTACTACTACTGTTACCGACTTCTTCTCTACCATCTAACTCTTTCTTATCATTAGTTGTTATTGTTGTTGCATTTAAATTTTTTTTATTGTCCAATTTTATTTTATCTTTTTTTAAATTCCTAATTTTGGAATTTTTGATGTTTTTTAAATTGTTGTTATTGTTATTATTATTTTTATCGTTATTATCATTATCTAAATTATTGTTATCATCAAACTTTTTATCTACATTTTTCACCTTTTCATCATATGATTTCTTTTTCTTGTCTTTTGAAATTTTATTTTTGCGATGTTTACGTTTACTATTATTTTTATTGGTTTCAGGTTTTTGAGTTATTAACTCTCCAAGATTCCAATCAGGAACTTCAAATAAAGACATTTTTTTATTTTTTTTAAAGATGATCAATGTGACGATTATGAATCTCGATCAAAGTCACATTCTATGTGAGGTACTTTTTCTGCTTGTTGATCTTACTAAATTAAGTAAAAATATACTATTAATTGCTTAATTTGGTAATATAATTACTTGGTTTGATGGAATTCAACGCTACTATGTGAGGTACTTTTCTGCTTGCTGCTCCCCATATATTCAGAATTCAGTTTTGGGGTTGTGTAGATCATTTATTATTTGCACAATTTCCCGTTTTTAAGACCAATTATCCAGGCGTCCCAAATTAACATTGTTGCTATGTGATTAGTAACGTGATGTAATTGAAATTTTTTTGAGTAAAAAAAAAAGGATATTTTTACGATTTTTGTCGTAAGTGCGCAGCAAATTACGAGATAATTTTTTTTGTTTTACCAAAATTTCTCATTTAAAAAATTGAAAAATAAAAATGAAGGTTTTTTTTTACTTTAACATTTATAATAAATTATTTGCAAAATGATAGAGAATCATTATTCATTTGTACGTTGGTTTCAAGAACTTGACGAATATAGTTGTAAGAGTTTTATGATGTCTTTAGATGATTCGTATCATATCATTTAATGCGTCAAATCCGCAAATAGGTGTAACATTGAAATTTAAGACTCTTTGAAGGATATATTCGGAAATTAATATTTACTCGTGTTTCTCAGAAATTAAATATATAAAAAATCTAATCTAAATCCATTTTATTAATAGAGCTAGAGGTTTAAAATTTTCCCGCCAGTAATCTTTTACTTTATTTTCAGTCTATAATGGCAATTAATAATTCTTTTTTAGTTTGAGAAAAAACTAGCCGACAAATTTTGAAGCTTGAGTCAATAAAACTTATCGGTTAGCTTTATAAAAATTTTTGTTTTAGTATTTTGAAGCGTCTCACGGGTATCTTTTTGTTAAATAAAAATCATCCCAAAATTCACAAAAAATTTTCTATTATATATAACGTTTAATAATGAAATTAAAAGAATGTAGTTTTAACAGGTTAAAGTTGGAAGCAGGTAGTTTCGTTATAGTCTTGATCGTTATTATAAAATATATTTTTTGAAGCATTTTTTGAACCATTATCGGATGTAAAAGGGTTTCCCTTCTTCTATTCAAGTGTCCACCATTTAAATTAAATCAAAGAACAACAAATAAATCAAACTTTTGGCAATTGTTCCTTGAGTTACAAAAACTTTACAAGAATGTTGTGCATTACATGGCACTTGGAGATGGTACTCCAAAAATGCTCAATATATGTTTTTCTACTGGTAAAGAATGTATTGTTTTTTTGCAATAAAGGCACTTACGAAATTAGATGAGGCTTTTTTCAATTTCAAAAATTTTTTTTGGGATGCAATACAAGCTCATGATAATGCACAATTGCCTGCTTAGTACGATTTTAGCAATTATCGACATTATAATATGCAAAGATACAGCATTCTACCAATTTTGAAAATGTATTTTCGCCCACGAAAATTTTGAATAACCATCATCCACATATAATGGTGTAATTATATTTAACAACTTTTTTATTTATTTATTTTTTTAAAAAAATTGATCAATGATTAAAAAATCAGAAAATATTAATTAGAGAAACAAAAGAATTTAAAATAAATCGCAAAGGTGAAATTTTAAGAACTAATCTTAAAAATTTTTGATCGTTGTCTCCATGTTATACTGCCATAATGATTTTTGACATTGTTAATTCGATGTCTGTCTTCTAGGGAATTTTCAAGTGGAATTCCTTAAAGTCGTTTGTGAAATAAAATAATTTATATCATGGTTCGTCCTTGGCTTTTTCTCACAACATTTTCATGGAAAAGCTGATTAGTATAAAAAATATTTATATTTACTTTATTTATTTTAAAATTGCGTTAGTTAACTTTTTATTTATATATAACGATAAGAATAAAAATATTTTTGAATGTAAAAAAGTAACATTTGAAAAGGTACCATAGGTATTTCATCTAAAGAATTCAAAAATAAAGAAAATCCCTTTTGGTAGATTTTTTGATATACTTGACCTTTACTTTTTCACAATAGCAGGAGGCTTTAACTTGTGCGGCATCTTGAATATTATTTGCAACAAAGTTAATATTAGTAAAACTCACTGAATTGTTTTCCTTAAGTAAAGTTGCTGCCGTTTGGAAACTTGGAAGAGAGGCATCAAGCGTAGAGACTTTCCACCATGGTTTGAATGAAAGAATGAACAAATAGTAAGAACGAAGATTAATAGATAATGAATTCGAGTCAACAATAGTTTATCAAAAGTTTTCGCGGGGGACTGTGGAATAACTATTTCTGCTTAATAAAATTTTCCATCAGATTTTTTTATTATTACATACCAGATGTCAACACCTAGACTCTGAAAATTCATCAAGCTCTCTTCTTTAAAAAAAAAAGAGCTCAAATACAACTTGAGAAGATTAGCAAGCTCTCTCACCCATCTTGAAATTTTCATTGCGTTGTAAACGTTTGGACAAAGAATATTATTTATAATTAATATATATATATATACGCAATATATCACGTTGTTAGTGTGAAACTGGTGAAGGCCACATTACTATTATTATAATTAAAAATAAACATTGCTTTACATTTTAATGAGTATTAACGCCATCATCTCCAAAATTGTCTGATCCTTTATTGTAGGTGATGATCCTGTAGAAGTAACTCGATTATTAACAGTTTTTTTATAGTAATGTAGAAAAGTTGTATTATTAAATCTGTCAAGTCAAGACATTTGTAAAAACATTACGATCTAATATCTAATACAATCAAAATTTTAATAATAAATTACAGCCAAAGTCTCGCGACTGAAAAATAGTTGATTGATGCGCAACAGATCAAATTTATTAATATATATATATATATTCTGTTGGCTTCTATAAATGAACCAAAAATTCCAATTACCAAAGTTAACAAAATAAATTCATTTTCTTTATTTCACTGAATTGGAATTTAAAGAAATAAATCATACAAATTTTTGAATATAAATACAAGATTTTTTTGCCCAAGCTATATATATACAGTACTATTAAAAAAAACCAAGTCAAATCAAATAACTAATAAACGAATTTTTTTACCAATTTCTTTTTCCTAATTACATCTTCCCAATTAAATTTTCCTTAAATATATAAACAACTTAATTACCTTAAAATGGGCAAACCCTAAAATTAGCAAGCTAAAGCGATTCAATGCATGTAGGCAGATATTTCCCAGACACAAACTTAAATACTAGTAAAGATCTGAGTCCCGAATTGAATGTGAAGTTGAAACTGAATCAGACTGGGGTTCTGATGATAATGAACCATGGGATGACTCGAATGTGTGTATAGACGATAACGTTGCTCTTGTGCATGAATGGCGGGAAAATTTTCCAAGAAATTATTATTTCAGTAAAAAGCAGGTATTTTTATATGAAGGATTCAAAAAGAACATAATAAAGACATGGCAATAGTTTGATTTTCTAAAATTGCTGATTTTTCATATTCAAATTCCCAATGGAAGTCGAACTGAAAATCTAGAGTTACAGAATAATAATGAATCAACAGATGGTGATCTTGAATATCTCAATTTTGATGATGACTGGAAAAATGCTGTTGAAGAAGCTCTGATTTAGCCAATGATGTAAAGTCCATATTAATGGTATTGTAGACATTTGTGTAATGACAAAAAACAGATTAAAGCAGATGAAATAGTGGCAATATCTCTAGGTAAGCAAAAGTTTATAAAAGTAAGTGCATTAGAACTCGGGTTAAACAATGGGCCCAAAATAAAATATTACCTGAATCAAAAAAAGTAAGTCACCCAAAAACAAAAATCATGCCTAAAAGATTATGCAAATATGTTGATAATAAGAAATAGAAAATGAAAATGAAAAAAAATTTATTCATGTACATATATATGCGTGCGTGAATTTTGAAATTAAAATGTGCGCCAAAACTTTTTCAAAAATTCACACGGTTGATGTGACACAAAATTGGAAAAAAAATGTCATGCTATATTAATATACTAATACTAAATGTAAAAATACATTTTGCAATTATGAATTAAACCAAACTAGTCAAAGTGTGAAAGCAATCAAAGAAATGTGAAACAGTTCCATCTTCAGTCATTTTTAATTTTATTTTGGCGTCAATTCTCAATAAAGAATTTAGAATCACTTGATTTTAATAAAAAAAAAAAGGCGGATTTTTTTTTTTTAATATTCTTAAATAATATCTAAAGAAAATATTAGATTTTTGTTTTTGTTTCAAGTTGTTGCAGTTTACCTTTATGTAACAAAGAAAAAAAATTTTTTTTTTTGAAAGATGCAGAAAATGCGCATCATGCGCATGAATATTACGCAATTTCCCTTATCTAATTGTAGCATACAGGAATAAAAATTTAAAATTTAACTCCACGATTTGAGGCGTTGACTTGGAAGGATAAAAACTAAATGAGAATTTTAATAACACATAATGAATCAACAACCTCCTATTAAAATGAAGGTAAAAGTATGAGGTTTGGATGGAGACCATCAGATGAAGAACTGTTTAAAAAAAAAGGAAAAAAAAAGCCTTTCATGTTAGTAGTTTTTTAATAGAAACAATTGGATCTTTACAATTCAAAAAACCAATTTCCTGGCTTACCTGAACATATTAAATATTTTGCGTCAGGGAGATGCGAACCATTGATTAATATAAATCGAGAAATGATCGACATATTTTTCAGTTGCCTTTGCATGAAAAGTTGCACTATCATTTTTTTTTTTCTTTTCTTGTATCGAAAAAATTTTTTTATATTAATATACCATGGTGGATGTAGTGATTTCTGTTTCCGCAGTAATTTCTCATAGATGGATCATCAATTAAAACAAAAGAAAAGTAATTCCGGTTTTGAAGTAACATGCCCAGGTTGTATATCATCATCTACCTCTGTTTGACAATGCAACCACTCATGCTGCATTTGCAGGTGATGCTTTAGTGCATCCAAAGTAGGCTAGTACGATGGTGGAAACGAGAAACGCCATGATGACTATGACAATGTTAATCTAAGAGGGAAACAGGAAGGAATGAAGACAATATTGGCATATTCAGAAGAACGTAAACTAAAAAGCAAGGAAATAAAATAGAAGGTTACAACCAGATTTTTTCAAGCATAAAAGGTAAATAAGAGGCCATATGGTAATATTTTACCCAAGTTCCGTTGCGAACTAAATTTTATTGAAATGTATTAATCTAAATGATGTACCAGAGAAAATTGCGACTACACATGGAGTGGCCAATCTTTTGGGATCAATACCTTTGGTCTTGAATTCTATTCCTGTTCATCAAGAAAATATGCATGTAGATCCTTCAGGTACATGGATGCATATAAACTCTTAAAGAAATATAATTCTCATAGAAGAATTCTATTGCATGAATGAATCCATTAAGTAATTAATTAATTATTGTTTTTAATTTTTTAATTGTTTACGTTATATTTTTATTTGTTTGTTTGTGAGACGTGACTTTGAAGTTCGGTTAAAATTACATTTCTTCCAATTCTTGTACAATTTTGAGTCCACAGAAAAATTTCCCGTAGATTCTTCTTAATTTGATAACCGGATAAAAGAAATTTTTTTTCAAAATGCTAATGCTCAACCAATTTTTCTCAAAGAAAATCTAATCGATAAGTTTTGAAAACTAGAATCATGAACTACAAAACTTATCGGTTAACATTTTGAAATGTAAAAATTTTTTTAAAGGCTATTTATTATAAATATAAAGCAACGAATCACGAATTATAAAAGCCTTTTATTTTTTACATTTCTTTCTTTATTCTTTTTTTTATGTATTATATTTACTTTAGGATCGGTCAATTATCTTTCTTTCGTTTACATAATAATATATATATGATGATAAATTACTTTGTACAAAAAAATTAAAAAAAATATGTGTGAAGATAATAAATAAAAAAATCAAATTACAAGAAAAATTTTTTTACATACAAAAAAAAATAAAAATATTTATAAGAGAAAATAAAAAAAATTATATAAAGATGATTTTTTTTTGTTGGTATTCTTTTTTAAGATTTGATCTTAATTGCCTTTAGTTGTTGATGATTTTCTTCTAAAAAGAACTGAAAAAAAAATTCAACTGAAAATTTCCACATAAAAAAAAAAATAAAAAAATTTGAATCGTTATTATTATTTAATTAAAAAAAATCTTCTAAATCCTCTAAATCTTCAAAATCTTCAAAATCTTCAAAATCTTCATCTTCGAAATCTTCATCTTCATTAGGATCATCTTTAGGAGGACGGTCGTCATCATTAGGGGTAGGTTCCTCATTGGGTTTATCACTGGGAGTAGGTTCATCTTCTGGTTTGCCTGTTCCTGTTGTTGCTGAATCTGGCGTGGGACTATCACTTGCAGGAGTAGAAGCATCGGTTGTTGTTGTAGTAGTATCGGTAGTAGTAGTATCTGGAGCTGGTAAAGCTACAACACATGTTGTAAAGATGACCAAAAGAAAAATGATAAACAAATTCAATAATTTCATTTTTTTTAAAAAAAACACGTTTTTTTTTTAATTTTAATTTTTTATTGCGGAAAAGATTTTTTTTTTTAAAAAAGTAAAAAAGTAAAAAAGTTGAAAACTTTTGAAATATTTATTGTATTTGTATTTATATAACAATAAAAATTATTAATAAAACAATTCTAAATACACAGCCTCGATATATATATATTTCTAAAGATTTGATTTTAACGTTTGGGCGTTTAAAATTATACTCTCTTATTATAAGTGGCTTCGTTATCCCTCCAGGTAATTATTTAAGCAATCACGTGAATTATATACAATTTAAAAGTTGTGGCTTTTGTATATATGATCTAAGCCTACCATTATATGATACCGTAATTTACATAAATAAAAATAAATAAAGGCTTAGATTTTTTTTTATATTAACTGAAAAAATAAAAAATCTTTAATTTTATATAAATATAACAAAATAATTAGTAATGTTAATAATCTCCATTCGAAATACATATAGAAGAAAAGAATCAAGAGAAGAAAATATATAAAGAGAGATAGAGAAGGAAAGAAAGTTACTTTTTAAAAAATAAAACATTTACATTCATGCACATACATACACACATACACTTATAAACACAATTATAAATTCTTTTTATCTGGATTATCTTTTTCTGATTTTGTCAATTGATTAATGTTAAATTCTTTTCTTTCTTCACCAAGAATAACTAATAATGAAAATAAGATTTATTTTGAAAATAAATTAATAATTTTTATTATATAATTCTATTCATTCTACCTAATCCAATTCCCACACTACACTATGCTATTTTATTCAACATTGTCGTCAAATATACACCAACAAAATTTTATCCTCGATCACACAATGAAATCTATTCCCAATTTCAAATCCTAAGCCGAGCCAAAAACCCCCCAATTCCAATTCTTTTTGATTTATGAATCAGATTGATTACCTCGTTTATATAATAAAAAACTAGTTGTGACAAATATTGGTATGGTAACAATCATTAAAGTGTACCGTCTAAAAAATATATGGATGATGATGTTTAGTTAATTAATAATAAATTAAATGATTGATTGATTGAAAAACGAAAACTATTTTATCGTCGGTTATTATTGTTGTTGTTGTTGTTGTCATATTATTACTGTTATTATTTACATTTTAAGACTCCTTGGAACATTATTAGATGTCATATTCTTGTCTATATTAAAAAATTTTTTTTAATTTTAAAAAAATTTTCTTCCTTTGATAATCTCGCTATATATATAATATCATGTGGCTCTAGATTTTGTGGCTTGTGTACATCTTTTGCTTGTCAAAGGGGGGAGGGGGGGTAAAATAAGTGCGTGTGTCCTTTTTTATTTTTGTATTTTGGCACGTTGTCAAAAAAACAATGGGATGCATCTATAGTCGATGTCAATATCGTTACATTTTTATTTGATTGGTCAATTAAATTAAATATTTATTTTTATTTATTTATAGTATAAAAAAAACAAGGAAAAGTGTTTCATTGAACTATTTACTATTGTTCTTGTCAAAAAGAAGAATTATAGTATTAGAATTTTAAGGTTCAAATAAAATTTCAAAAATCAGGAATTCTAAATTTAGTATAATAGTCTCGAGATTTAGAATTTAAAGTATTATTATTTTTCAAATTTCGAATTAACAATATAATAACACACCTCAAAATAATTAATTAAAAAGAAGAATGGGTTTTAATATGTTATCAGAATGTCTTAAAAATGTTTTTTCTTGGCTAGAAGATGATAAAGTCACCTTATATTCTTCGATTCTTGTGAATCGTACTTGGTGCAGAACAGCTACTCCATACCTGTGGAAGAATCCTTTTAAATTAGTTTCTCATGAAAATGTATATAAGCTTATTTGTATCTATTTTAAAAGTATGTCAAGTGAAATTTTTATAGATGATAGTGATGATGTCAATTTTTATTTCTTGCAAGACAGGTTGATTCTTAAAGATAAAACAAATTTGATTTCATTTATCAGAGGCACTCAAGCAACTTTATTTGACTATATATCATTTTTTAGGGTGTACAATTGTTATCAAGTCAATAATCTTATTAACTTGTGGTGCTCATATTTTATCACTGATGAGAAAATCAATTGGGCAGGCCAAAGAAAATTTTGCTCAAGATGGATATCAAATAGCCTTTTTAGAATCATTATGGATCATAGTTCAAGACTTGACTCCTTAATACTAGTATATGATGATTTCCATTTTAATGAAATTGATAGAACGACATTTACCACCGACGCAACAACCACAACCACCACAACCATCGCAACTATCATCAACAGCAATAGTATTATTAGTAGAAAACCAAATTCTGGTTATTCAAAGCTTAAATCCTTACATTTGGACTATTGTTGTGATGGTCACACGTTAGATTGTATATCAAAAAATTGTAGAACAATTGAAGAATTATGGATTTCGTTGGCTGAACGAACCATCGAGATAAAACCTTTGTGTGATTTGATAACGTCACAAAAATCTTTAAAAGATTTTAGAATACGTAGTTCCACAATGATCATGGAATATTACTTTAACATACCTGACGTTCTGCTTGAAGCTTTAGAAACACACAAAGATTCTTTAACCACACTACAGTTTTTCTGTTGCCAATTCTACCAATGTCAATCATTCAAGCCCATATCAGAATGTAAAAATCTTAAAAGATTGGGTTTCTTCAATTGCGAGGGAATGACTCATTCCAAAATATTTCATTTAGCAGCAAAAGGAAACTTGCCAAAACTGGAGGTGTTGGCGATTGCTGTTTATGATGAGTTTTCATCTGACGTTATAATAGGAATGATTAAAAACTCACACAACACTTTGAAAAGGGTTTCTTTGCCGATGGCAACTCCAGATAATGGCATTAATCATGTTATGAATGCTATGAAATCATTTTGCTACGAAAATTTAAGAGGTATCACTGTGAATTTTATGGCCGGTGATCATAATAATTTTGAAAATTTCCTATCACTGCTAGAGAAATGTCAAAATTTGGAGCGTATCTGTATAGAAGGTGGTGATTTCGAAGGGTTTCCTTTGGATTTTGATAGTGAGGAAATGAGTTTAAAGTTTCGTAAATTGACAAAAAAATTACCAAAAAAACTTTACAAATTGGTGTTTTACAATGTCTCAATCACACCATCATTACTATTATCTTTCCTTAAAGACTTGAAATCTTCTTCACTTAAAGTATTAGGATTCTACGAGTGTCCGTTATTTGAAGATTTGCACATTGAGATGATCATAGAATATGTACAGGATCCTAATAATGCATTAGAGAATTTAATTATTAATTGGTGTGACTTTATCACTGAAAATATTATAAATAGAGCAAGACAATATATTAAAAAAGTAGATTTTAGTGATATTGAACCTCATGAAATGGAATTTACTGCTTGGTTAGAATAATATAGAATAATAAATAACATTAGATATGAAGACTATAATGATTTTATAATTAAAAATGATTTATTATTTATAATTTATTTAGATTAAATTTTACAAATGTTTGGTTGCCACCACCACTAAAGCAAGAAAAGAAGGCAATACTTTCGATTGCGTATATCATACGCATTCATGTATCATATAATGTAATATTTAATTAAAAAACGTGTTAATCACTCATATCAATCACTTAAATGATTATTAGTTTTTTAAAATTAGCAATAATAAATTTTATTTCGAATTAAAAATTATATTCGTAAAGTAAAATCAACAACATATAAAAAATATTGTTAAAAAATATTATATTTTTCTAATTCATTTATTTTTTCACATAAATGATCAGTCTCGGTTACATAATCAATTTCCGAAATAGCCACCAAATTATTGTTTAAAAGAGTCTTCTACAAAATAAAGGCCAACGGGGGGATTCTGAAATGATCCCATTTATATTTATTTACTTATTTATTTCATATAATTGTTTTTATAATTGCCATAGTATTTAACACTTACATTAAAAGTTTTTAGCTGAGTACAAGCTTTAAATATGTAAGTTTCCCATAATTGATTTTTTACATGATTTTCATAACCATAAGGATCAACAAACATCCTAATAAAAATATTAACAATATATATATTAGAAAATTAAAAATACTAATTAAACTAATAAAAAAAAAATATGATATAAATAAACAATTACTCTAAGTTTATGGAAATCATCAGCAGGCATGCCCAAAATTAATATAGCTGTTTCATCGAAACAATTCGTCCATACCATACACTATCTAAATGATCAGTTATACGAATTGGTAAAACATATCTATAACAAAAAACGAAACAAACAACATCAATAAATATTAATATTTTTAAAAAAATTTTCAATTAGCAAGTAACACTATACCTGTAGGTTGGAGTTCAAATGATTTTAACATTTATCACAACTCCAATTATTGTCACTTACAAATACTTTCTTTTTGCAAGTACTCCATGAAAGATAAATAAGTTCTTTGCCTTTATTGTGTATGTAAGCAACAGTAGTCTTAACAGTGAAATAGTCTTCCTGGAAAATAAATATATAGATGAAGTTAAAGCTAGATGCATAAAAATACACGCATACAAACACATATATAAATTCATGCAAGAATTACTCTCTCTTTATATCCTAAATTTTTATCGGATTTAATTTCTTCTAATGACTTTTGAGCCTCTCTTATGTTGATCGATCCACTTGCTGGGCCTGCTAATGAATTAAATTCTAACAGAAATCCACCTGTACTTTACCTAAAAACAATAATATGAACACATTTTTAATTAATTTAAAAATTATTATATATAATCAATCAATTCATTAGCCAATCAATAAATTAACAATCAGTAATACCATTTCTGATGATTCAGTTGCTTCGGTAACGAAGGATTTGTAATCAGAACAGTGTTCATTGCCGTTGATAAACCTTTACCTGAGGGGATAAAAATAATTAATCACTTGCAAATAAATAAACATATGCATATATGCATAAAATATTATAAAAAATTTTGAACACTAACATGAGCAGATTTAATAACAACTACTGAAACCAATAGTACATTCCAAATTATCAACCACAATCTTGTAACCACTTTATCAACTACATCGATGTCTTGTTTTCAAAGTTACAAATGATTTAACCCAAATAAAGAAAAACAAATCAATTGATGAACTTTCAAAGATTAACAAAAGGAATTTTTTAAATTTTTATGTTTACATACTTGTCTAGTTTCAGTGCTATTTTCAGTGTAATTCATATTTATGACCTTGATAAATTGGATTTTTGTTTAGATATTCTCAAATTGGTCATATAATATACCTATTTGAAATTAATAGTTGATATGTATTAATAAAAAAGAGGGTAATTGAATGAAAATTTATACTCTATTCTCCTCGATTTGTTCATAAAATTATCCCAAAAAAATGTCTCTGATCTCTCCCTAATTGGATTAATTACAATATATTTGGAAAGAAATGATGGTCACCTAGTCTCTACAACTTTTATTGGTCTTGCAGATCCTCTACCTTCTCCAAAAATGGAAATGCATGACCAAAAAAAAAGATGTAATTTTTGAAGCTAAGACATTTCTCTACAAAGCTACACTTTATTTTGTTGATACATGTAAATTCAACAAGTCGGTTTTGGCCTAACTTAACCAAAAAGGTTCACCCTTTTTTTTTTACTATTTAAAAAATTTGATAAGTCAGTCGATCATGATAAGCACTAAGTCAGTCAATCACTTAGCCCAAGTATCCATCCCTTAAACTGTCCACATTTTCGAATAAGGGAATTTCGAAAATTTTATTGGTAAATTACAAAATTCCACCAATCAAAATTAACCAAATCGCACAACAAAAAATTTTATTTAGAGATGCGATCCGTGGATGGTCAATCCGGATATCCGCAAAACAATCCGGCTTTTTTAAAGTGCTAACGGATTGCGGATTGAAATTTTAGAAATTATAGGTATCCGGATGATCCGTGTAAATAAAATATCATGTGAATAAAAAAAATTTATGTACTAGAAAATTTTAAAATATAATACTTTTTATCATCTTTATCTAATTCATCTTTTGATGCCGTTGCTTCTTTACTAGTTTGTAAGATTACTTACAATGAATAATGATAATAACGAATATAATTACAATGGCAATGATAATGGTAATGGTAATGAAAGTGAACTTACCCATATAGATTCTGAAGAAGAGTTGGATGGAAATGTATTAAATGTAATTTCTAATGAACAGACTAAAATTACTAAACACAAACTAAAAAAGGTACCATTAAAAAAAAGTTGGGTATGGAATTGGTTTGCAGAAATAAATTTACCTAGTGGTAAAAAAGGTTCAGAATACCAAGTACCAATTACAACTGAAAAGACTTGTAAAAATGTTATGTAACAGATGGATCCACAGGAAATTTAATTAAACAAATTTTGTTTTTAAAAAGAAATGCAAGTTGTGTTGAATGTATTCACCCACTGAATTAACTTTATAATAAATATAAATGAATTGTCATGAATTATTAGCATTACTACTCTTTTAGTAACATTTTATACTAATATTGCTGAATTATCCATTCAAACTGCAGATGATCCATACAATCTGGATGATCCGTTCAATTTCATGGATGATCTAGATAATCCATTTGAATCCAATGGATGTATTTTTTGAGCAATTAACGGATGATGGATTGATTTTTTGAGATAAATGACGGATGAACGGATAACGGATATCCGCAGATTGTATCTCTAGTTGCAGCATATGAAAATTGAATTGTGGTTAATTGTGGTTCCCATCTTTAATGACCACAGATAATGGTTCAAATATGGTTTTAGCAAGCTGGCTACTAAATGAGACATTTAGTAAATTACTAAGATTGAAATGTACAGACTATAAATTGCAATTGACAGTTAATATTACATTAAAACACAAGTAAAAGTTATAGAAAATTAGTAAAGTATTTTCAACTCCTAAACAACTTGAACAATTAGAAAAGTTCAACAAGATTTAAACAAAACAACTTATATGGAAAATGTGAATGAAAACGAAAATAAACCTTTATACCCTAGAATAATTAGAAATATAACCAAATTTAAGACAAGATGGAATTCTAAATATTGTGAGTATGTGTTCCGAGTTTCCTATTTGATAGGAATGTTCAACACACAGCTAGGTCTTACTTCGCCTACTGACTTATGGTCAATATTTCA